TAAGGCAATACAATATGAATACAAATGATACTCAACAATTAGTTAACCGTTTTACAACATATGGTGATTCTTTATAACAGTAACCATATTTCTACTTGTTTGTTTCAAAATTATTTTAGTGTAAATAAATAAAAAAAAATGTTTGAAAAACCTCAGAAAAAAATTGTAAGCAACTAAACGAATGTTAAAAATATCCACATTTAACATTTTAATATTTATTGATCTATTAATATTGAAAACTTTTGAATTGCAAGGTTTTATTTTTAAATTGTACTGCCTTGATTCAAACTGTGATTGTTTACTATGTATACATATTTTAATTATATTTAAATAAAATTTATTACTAATGATTATATAATTATTTTTATAAAAATTACCCTCAATTCCATTCTGGTATAAACCAATTATTTTAGCTTTAATTAAAAAAAAAGTGATAATACTGTATCATATCTATATAGAATTACTTTTTGTAATCCGACCGCATGATTTGCGACACAAACGGGATACTCTGCGTCCTTCAAATACTGAAAAAACGGGGCTTGTTGAGGTAAAGTCACCTAAGCTGTTCTCTGATTCAGTAGCGATTGCCCTAGTGCTCCAATTTCTGTCAGTTGTGGAAGCGTCACTAGTACTCTCGGAGTCAGAAGTAGATTCATCCGAGCTGCTCTCCGTAGAGGTATTAGTAGGAGTCGAAGCTTTCCTATCACTGAATTCATTTTCGTTCGTTTTTTTTGCCAGAAGTGGATGGACCGCCGTCAATTTTTTCATTAATATTGGTATTTTTCTTGTCTTCTTCTTTTGATTTAGATTTAAAACGTTTGTTGCGTTTGAGCACTCGAGCGTTTTTTGAACTTGATTGTGTGCGCTTATGTAAACCCATTCTTTCTTCCCTTCTAGCTAAAGCTTGGAGTACGAGCGGACATTTCTCAGTTTCTTTTGTCCAACCATGTGGCATAGGCAAACCCATCATAGCTCTTAATAATGTAGCCTTATTATTTCCAACATGTTTTTTAAAACGTTTTGTAGAAACAGTTTTGTCGACAGACTTAGATACAGCTGCTCTTATAACCCGTGATTGGGAGGGTGTATTATTTTTGCGCCGAGTTACTAAATTTTTGCCTACCGCTTTTGCAGTACTTTGTTTCTATAAGTTGTCTTATTTGATCTTGATTTACTTAGAACTCTTTTTCTGGTTATCCTTGTTTCTACTCCAGTATTGTCATTCTGTTGCTTTTTGTTGCTTGAAATATTAGTATTATTACTAGTAATTGAATTATTTTCGGCCGGTTCTATCCCATCAGATGGTGTACTTATTGCTACATCTTCAGCAGTTACCAATTGCGAGGAATCACTGCTTGAAGGAAGTGATTGTTTATGTAATAAAGATTGAATGTCTTCCTTTATATGACACTGCGAATCATTCAGGCGAATATTTTTTTCTAAGTTGGTGCCAGAATCTGACAACTGGTCACAAATTTTATTAATCAATTCACTCTCAGATTTGCTTTTAGCAATTGGTTGATTATTCTTCTTTATAGTTATAGCCATGCTACATTCAGATGATCTGTCCACATTCCAATTACTTATATGTTCACAGAAGCTATCATCCGAAAGATTACACATTTTCGGTAAACTTTTATTAAGCAATAAAAAATTATTAATTTGTTTTAAAAGAGGAAGTGATATCATTGGCTTATGCATTTCCGTGAATGCTATTTTAGTAATGGGATCGGAAAGCGATCTGCCTAGTTGTAATCTTGTCTTAAATGTTTATCTAACGTAGTTTTATCAATAATTTTTCCCGATGGCATAATCAATGGCATGCGCATTATTTTAGAATTTGTTGCATCGAGAAATTGCGACGGAACTTCAAATTTATTATCGGTGCTTACTTCGTCTTTAACCTCAGGTTGAGAGTTTTTATAAATTATATCACAATTTAATTTGAGAGGTCCACCTACATCATCCTTCATTTTCCAAACATCAATTATGTGATTGCGAATTTCTGTCGAGCATGCATCGCTAACACCTCCCCAAATTTGGATTTTAGATATGCACGGAATACTGTTTCCTTCAGTGCTTGTAATCCGAACAACAACTTTTTTACATAAATTAAAGATATTAGGAATCTTGTTGAATTCAACCTTGCGAAATATCTGTGGTGCATGCTCGCTTGCGGGAGGACGCTCAAAATAAAGATCACTTCGATATATTACCATTCCTGGTTCATCATCTAACTTTCCTTTTGCAACTGTGATGAGAGTTCCCGAATTATCAGTCAATATATCAAATCCAAGAGATTTCTGAAGACCCACCTCGGGCCAAATAGTTATATAATGCACATCAAATTCGCATATAAGATCAAAATATATATCTACTGGGAAAGTCATAGCACAACCACCATAGGACATAAATCCCTTTTTGGATTTGCTACTATCCGAAGACACTAAGTTGGTAACTTCAAAATTGTTTGTGCATAACATATTAGAACTCACTCGAGGGCGTAGCAGGGGATCCAGAATGTTCATCATTATAATATTCTTTTTTTCGGGCCCAGTTATATCTGTAAATAATATTTTGTCAGAAAATTCACATTATGCATACCAACGCATTATATATATATATATATATATATATATATATATATATATATATATATATATATTAGGTTGTCAAATATCTCCCTTTCGCTATATATATATATATATATATATATATATATATATATATCTTATATGTATTGTAAGGGTATGCACCTATTCTTAATAATTTTAAATAATATAACCACTAAATAACGGTCATAATACAAACTACGCAGTATTCTTCGTGAATCATGCATAATTTACAATGCATGAGCAATAACCTTGCAAGGGTTGATAAAATTCCTTTCAGGACAATAAAATACGCAATAACAGCTTAGTTATCTATTGTTAATACATTGTGTTGCACTCTGCCATGACGTTAAACAAGTCGTAAAATATTGTTATTTAGGAATTCAAAGTCTCCCTGAAAGAACCACATAAAAGGCATGCAATGACGCATTCGCCAGTTCAGTCGTAATTTAGTTTTTTATAAGTTCAGTTATAATTTAGGTTTCAGTCAATCATTAGTTCAGTCGTTCTTTAGTTATCAATGAAATCGTATTTAAGATAATCATATTTAGTCGTATTCAAGTTCAGTTGTTTAAGTTTTGTGTAAAATGTACAAGAAATCATAAAATAAATAAATACATCAAACGTCTTCGTCTGTTTAACTGATCAGCCTCCACAGATTGATAACAGCTTTGTTAGAAGCAGAAAAAATAAATTGTTGACATCATTGGTGATCTACACAGAAAGGGGTGTCATTGGATATTCTAGTATAACAATATATAAATCTGCTGTACGTGTGTTGTCACTGAACTGCTTCTAAACGACTATTCGAATTTTGATTAATAATTTTATAGTATGTCAATCATAAACCTTATATTATTGTAATATGGTGTCAATGCATCATATACCATAGTGGTTTGGAACTGAGTAAGTATAGTAATAAAAAAAAGAATAAATTGTAAAAAAAATAGTTGAAGAGTTATCTTCAAAATCGTAAACAATTTGTCTACCTTAACGGATTTTTGTTCACTCTTCGTCCTCTACTATTTATTACTTTTATTAATTATATATTCAAAACCATTAGTTGTCCACATATATTGTTTGCAGCTGATCTCAAATTATATATCAAATAATCTCCATCTGCTCAAGTTAATCTTTATCTTATTCTATGTTATATATTCTATGCTAAGGAAAAATCCAAGTTAATATTGTTCTTTCACCGCAGATACTATATTAATTCTTCCTAATTTTTCTATACATTTATACTAATTAAAAAAACTGTAATTTACAATACATATAGAACATGCCAAGACCATAAATAAATCGCAAATGCAGGACATTAAATAGGATGTTAAAAAGTATAGGTAGGGTTTGGAAAAATTTGAAAATTTTGCGTTGTAGACGTCGGTACAGGACAACGTCTGTCAGGTCATCCAATATATATAAAAAGATCGACAATCATCATCCCAAAGACAATTAAAGTAAAGAATTTTTTAACGATACTGTTTTAAAGTAAAAGTCAAACGATTTGTAATGAGCCATAATCTGAATTCTTACGACGTCGCGATCGGGTGTTAAATGGCCGTATAAGAATTTTCATAACAAAAGTATTTTGTTTCATCGGTGTTTTTGTTGGTTGAAGATCTTTTATTCAGTTTATGACATGTGAATATAATTTTATATTCAACAGTTTTTTTATATAACTTCTAAAAATGTTTATATGTGAGTAGGGTAAAAAGAACCAACTAAATCTTTTTACTGGCAAATGTTTAAACGATAGGAAAATAGTAATAACAAAAGGGTTAATTTGAAAAAATAGCTAAAAAACATATTTCTATAATTAAAAATGAATTGAGAATTTCACTGAACATCGTTCGACAATTGTTTATTTAATAATTGTTATTTGTTGAGATGTAGCTCATTTGATTCAGACTGCATGAAAACTGAAAGTCAATTTGGACTTTTGAGTCCCGCCCTAATTTATTAATTTTGAGAATAATTTTATCACAATTTTGTATTTTATTTTAACAGTTTTTAAATATTCAAAAAATAATATATGTAATTTACTTCATTTTTTATTATATATGTTTTATTTAATATAGTTTTAACTCACAATCCGTAAAATACTTTGGGGCGCGATCTAAAGAGTTTTTTCGGCTCACTTAAAAGGAAATATCTTTTGGACTATCTTTAGCATGAGACCATGCTTAAGAAATAGAAATAAAAAGTGATAATATCGAGATAAAGAAAACTGAAAGATCCTAAAAGTGAAGTATTCAACTATTAAGCAGAAAGTAATAGCACATTGGATAATTTCATTCTTGAGTGTGCAAGCTAGAAAAATAGTAGCAATCATGGTAAGAAACAAATAATCTTTGATGCGCTGAATGCGAACTGCATGAGAAATCTATTAAAAGTAGAACCGAAGAGCAATAGGTGTACCTTCATGTTAGAGTATGAAGAGTATTAGGTGTACCTTCATCAAACCATATTGAAGAGGTAAGTTTCTGAACTTATGGATTAGATATTGACAAGGATTGGAAGAATAAAGTCATTTTGGTGATCAGGAAAGATGTTACCAAAAATGTGCGTTAGAAAATGATACAAAAAAGTCATTACTATTTTGTCAGTATGAAAGAAATCGAAAAAACAAAAATAATAAAAGAAGAAGCGAAATGGATTAGCAGAAAGTCTTAGGCAGAGTAAACTAGTGTTCCGCTTATGGGGATATTTGGCGGTTGGAATCGATATTTTAGTCCGCAGACTGATCTAAACCTTGTAAATTGATTCGAAGTTGACTAAATCATGGCTATATAGATTCCGTGAATTTCAAGAGTCTTGCTAGGCAACAATCCTGCCCAGTTCATACAAGCACTGGCTGGTTAAGAGGGACTTGAAGAATAAAATTTTTTCGGATCATCACCATAATGTACGCAAATGAACCAAATCATCAAAGTAGAAAAGGAATATGGAATTAAGATTAATATAGTCAAATCTATTGTCAGAAAATGTCGAAAAATGATGAATCTTTGAGGGTACAGTCTAATAAAGGCAAAGTTGGCAAACAATGATAATAATAAAGGGCGCCCACAAGGATGGGACGTAAGACAGAGAGAAACGAGCGTGAAAGTACATTTGGATGTAATGTTATAGATATTTTGAAGATTTTAAATATTAAAAAAGTTTTGGATTCAGAACCAATTTATAAGTGTTAGGTTACATATTAATAAAAGAGTTGCAGAATTGGCCATTTTCTTATATAAAAATAGTATATATATTATATGAAAAGAGTATATATTTGTAAAAAATTTATCAATTAGAATCATTTTTAGACATAACTTTGGAATGTCTACCAAAAACCAATCTTTCGACATTCTCATTAAAATCAACTTTTTTTAGAAATTTCAAAAAAATATTCCAAAATAAGTAAAAAAATAAATTATTTAACATTTTAAATTAAATTAAATTAAAATTTTCAACAATATCCAAAATAAAATAAATCAAATTTGTTTATTGATTTTTAAGTTAAAATAAAAATCTGAATTTCCAAATATTTTTTTTAAAATTCGAAATAAAAATCAAATTCAAATACTTAAATATTTTCAAATCACTCAAATTATTGAAACACATGAAAAGTAATGAAAGTTATTAAAAAAATAAAATATTTACCCATTTTCTTGAAGATTTGCAGTAACTTTCAATAAGAAACCGAAAAAATAATAACTTTTTTATTCAATGTGCACTTATAATTAAAAATTAATTAAAGGTAAGTGTGATTATTAAATTTGTAACTGCTTCCAGAAATCGATTAAAACTGACTGAATTTGTCGCAAGCTCACACCTTTTGTACTGCCTACCTGCTCCACAAATTTTATCATTGGGGAGGGGAGCAATCTTAAGGGATATTGGGACACCACGGTATATGCAATACATATTGTTTAATAAAAAAAATCATTTGAAATTCAAATATAATATAGCAAATATATATATAATTTTCCAAATATTTTTTTTACATACCAACCCGGTTATCGGTTAACCGGAGAGAGAGAGAGGTAGAGAGAGAGAGAGAGAGGTCCGCCTTTAAAGGGTAAAAAAGTCCGCCACTGGCATATTAAAAACAAATAAAGTCAAGAATTTTTTAACAACAATATTTAAAAATAAATGACATCTCTACTGGGCGATAAACGGGAATGTTTATAAATCCATGACAGAAGTATCTTCTTTCGTTTTGGTTGTGTGCAATTTACGATATCTCAACTTTTAGATATTCCCCATTAAATAGTTTTATAAGATGTATTGTTATTTTTAAGTTAGATTCAACGGTTTTTTATACAACTTCTATAAAAGCTTGCATGTGAATGAAATAGAAAGACCAATTTAAGCTTTACCCTGGCAAAGATGAAAACAATAAAAAATAGTACATAACTAGTGGTGTATGACATCGTGCCTTGAGGCATATTACTGGAACTTCCGGTACCGTAACGAAATATTTGAAAAATATATTAAATGTATCCAAATAAATTATTATAAATAATGTCGCATTGTCTAATATTAATAAGAATTATATAAACTGAATTGCAAAGTTAAAATTATTTATATTAAGTTTATCAGTGAGCTTTAAAACTTTAGCCAGAATTAAAATTAAAATCCGAATTGTTTTTGATATTAAAAAAAAATGGGAAGAAATATAATTTTGAAAAAAAGTATTTGCTTCAAAAGCAATCCGTTCGTCAACACAAACAGAAAGTTTTTTGAATCATTCAAATTGAATGCTTAGTTCTCTCAAAAACTCCTGTTTTTTGCAGATTTAGCTTCGTATCTTCGAAATGGCTGGATCTGCTTTTGACAAAAGCAAATCACCCCTTCTCTCCATCACTACAAATTGAATGTTTTTTTAATTATTCCAAACGGAAGCCCCGTTCTCAAATTTTCGAAAAATAGCGAAAAATCATATTTCGGCAATGATGAATTAGCTGGAAGTTTCACTGAGCATAGTCAGATAGTTATGTGTTTGGTATGCTTTATTTACTGTGATATAATTGGTTTGGTGTTCACAATATAATTGCTGTCAAAGAAAAACTTAAATTGAACCTTTGTGTCCCGCCTTATCTCATATAAAGCAATATGCCCAATATGTCCTCAACGCTATTTTCACTTTAAATCATATTTCGTTCTACAGAAAAAATATATAAAATGCATTTCTCAAACCGTTAAAAAACTATATTTTTATCTATATCAAAACATAGATCGCTACTGCTTAATATAAATCCGTCCAGGAAAGGGCATGGCAATGGAAGATGTTGCAAAACCAAAGTTTCTACCAAGTAGCCACAGACAAGATTTTATCTTGTAAGATAAATTGTGGATAAACTAGTGGAAAAGTATATAAGTGAGCTTTAGAACTTTAGCCAGAATCAAAATTAAAATCTGAATTACTTTCAATATACAAAAATATAAAAACAAAATGAAAAAAAAAATTGAAAAAAAATTATCTTTCAAAAGCAATTATTTTGTCAAAACAAGCAGAAAGTTTCTTGAATCTTTCAAATCGAATGCTCTTAATGAATCAAAATTTTTTCAATAACTGCCATTTTTGCACATTTGGCTCGGTATCTGCACAGCGGATGGACTTGCCTTTGCCAAAAACTATTCACCATTACGAAACTACCCGTCATTACGAATGGAATGTTTTTTGGATAATTCAAATCGGATGCTCCGTTCTATCAAAAGCTCGAGATCTACTTTGCACATCTGCACTTCTTGATCCGCATCTCCGTAACGGCTGGACCAGCCTTTGCGAAAAACTAATCAGCACATCTCCCTACCAATAGGAATTGAATGTTTTTTGAACAATTCAAATCGGTTGATCCGTGCGCCCGAAAACGTGGACAAAAAATGCGGACATACAAAACACACACATACATGCACACGCATCCAATTTTTCTGAGGTATGCGAAAATGTTCAAAAACCTCTGGAGCGTAAAGATATACAAATATTTTTATTTTTGATTTTCGGCCCATTACTGTAACTTACCCTACAGGAAGTTAAAAACGCGAAATTTAAACACGAAGAACTTTAATCTATACAATCTGTTTCATACTATGAAAAGATTCTCTGCTAAATCAATAATACAAACTTATGACTTATTTTTAATAATTAATACATTTATAAAAAAATCCTTTTTCACCTATAATTTACAACTACGTAAAAATTTGCATCCATATATGCACGCATACATATGTTTACAAATATTTGTCTGTTTATATTTATGTTTCTGCATGTGCATTATTCTTAATCGCTCAAATATCAGTCATTGTCTTTTGCGTTTGAAGCACAATGGATATTTAATTTAAAATTTTCTAATTAAAAAAATCAATAACATTTTTCAATTTAAAAATTTGAAATAATCAATTATCGATGATCCTGCCATTATTCTCTATCATAACAATATGTCCGATTTCGAATCAATGGTTTATATAGTTAACAACAATACGACAAGCATTATATTTGTTTTGTTTGTCAGAGTAGATAATGGCATTAATTAAAATTTGTTTATAATTAAACAACACGTATTTTACCAAATAACTATATTAATATGCTGACAAATATTTAACTGATTATATACGCAATCTTAAATATATATATAACTTTTTTTTTAATGTTTTTATAGGCTTTACTGTGGGTCACTGGTTGGATACCAGCTTCGGACAGCCTGATATCGTGCTGTAGTGATATCGCTTTTCTCTTGGAAATCTAGATTGTAATATGTTAAGTGAAAATAACCCTTTTATTGTAGGGTTGCCTTCTAATAGCGTTCAGTATTAAAATAAATATCTATACAGCATATAGTAAGGGCAGTCAATGGGTTGTTAATATGAATAATAATTATTATTTATAAAAAAGCAAATCAAGGTAAATTAAGCAATTTTGCCAGAGATAAATTAAATATATAGTTATTCTCTGCTTATCAATATTTCTGATGCAATACCAGATCAGGGTCATACACAGTGTTCTATGTAAAAAAATGAACCCAGAAATATTTTGCATTAGTTGAATAATGTAGCTATTATTTTGTAAAATCCTTTGATATTAAAAATATGATATTAGACCAGTTTGTTTAAATCAGATTAATTTCACTTATAATTACAACAATTCAATTTGTAAAGTCGTTAACTATTAAAAAAGTTTGAATAATGTTTTAGATTTGGAAATGTTAATAAAATTCATATAATTTTCAAAATCGTGAATTAATTTTTAACTTCCCGTGGGATAAGTTATAGTAATCGCAAAAAAATCGAAAATGAATTTTTTTATATATCTTTACGTTTCAAACGTTTCTGAATATTTTGGCATACCTTAGGAAAAATGTATGTATGTGTGTGTGTATATATGTGTGTATGTGTGAATTTGTGTGTTTGTGTGCGGATACAAATTTTTGTCGACAATTTCGGGAACACCGATCAACCGATTTTAATAATTCAAAAAACATTTTAATTGTATTGACAACATGAAAAACTGATTAAATTTTTGAGAAGGTAGGTCCACCGGTTATAGATTCTAAATAAAAATAAGTTGAAAAAATGTCATTTGGCGGTCAAAAATGTTTACTGAACATATGTACATCAAATTATCAGATATTTTATAGAAATTTTAATAATGTGTATACATTTTGTGAATTTTTTTTTTTGGGTTCTGTACCAAGTACGGAATTTGCGTTAATGCACGATGCCCTGCACCCCACTAGTTGTATTTGAACGTCGTAAGAAATGGATCCAGCAACCACCGCTTCTGGGTTTGATACCAAACTCGGTTACCTTGATACCAAGCAGTAGTTAAATAAGATTTTACGTAAAATTATATATTAAATATAATATCAAGTGTTGGTTGTCTTTCGGACCATTGCTAAAAAAATAGTTAAGTCAATGGTACTAATTAAGTTAAAGTCACAACTAGAATGAACAACTACCGGGTTGCCTTTTAATCGCCATCTGTTAAATTAACAAAACAATTATTAAGTACCTTATTAACAGATTGTAATAGAAAGAAAAACATTGCAGCCATTAGGATATATTAAATTGTTTGTCATTAAAAAAATTTTGACAATCAAACTTTACAACATTTATTAATCCTCTTTTTCTCTTCTATAAGACTTCGATTTAAAAATACATCTAAAGATTCCGCATGTTAATTTCAGAGCTAAAACTATAATAAGTATCACAAAAACTAGAATCATTAGAAATCCTGCTGCAACATCAAGTAACCAGGTTTGATAGACAGGCATGCCTGCAGCAGGTGAACGCAGGAAGTGTGCTCCTTTATGCCTTAAGACGTATTCTATACTATTCACGGCTTTTTCCAATGGAGGCTGAGGCTCATCTCGGAATATTTTTGAGAGATATTGTGACCGCGATCGATAGCTAAAAAAAGTAAATTTTATTATATTGTAGTCAATGGTAGAAGTTGTAGATCATAGGGTCTTCAAAAAATTATTTCTAAGAATTAATTAAGAATTTTTCGAGATCTTTGTTCACACCAGAAAATGTGATTTGCTAATGTTATGCTTTCTTAACATATTAATCAAGCTAAATTTTTTGGCACAAAAATTGTATAATGTAAGAAGCGTGCATTTTTATTTACAGACGTAAATTTTGTCTTTTGCAAACGATTGGTCAAAAACGACACCGGCACCGTTTAAACAGTTTTTTTTTTTACATAATTTTTACTGACTCGAGTTAGATCATTTTACGTGCTGATCGATCTAAAAAACAGCGACATCTTAAAAATTTAAAAACATTTATACCCTTTTTAACTTCCCGTAGGGTAAGTTATTGTAATGGGCCGAAAATCGGAATTGAAAATTTTTACATTTCTCGACGTTTTGAAGGTTTCTGAACGTTTTGGCATACCTCAGAAAAAATGGATGTGTGTGTGTGTGTGTGTGTGTGTGTGTGTGTGTGTGTGTGTGTATGTATGTATGGATACAAATTTCCAGTCACGTTTCAGGGCGCACGGATCAACCGATTTGAATGGTTCAAAAAACATTCGATTCCTATTGATAGGGAAAAGAGCTGATTAGTTTTTGGCAAAGGCAGGTCCAGCCGTTTCGGAGATACGGAGCAAAGAGTGCAGAAAATAGAAATCGAATTTTTGAGAGAACGGAGTATCCGATTTGAATGATCTAAAAAACATTCAATTAGTAATGATTGGGAGAAGTGTTTATTAGTTTTTGGCAAAGGCAGGCCCAGCCATTTTGAAAATACGGAGCTAAATATGTAAAAAATGGCAGTTTTTGAGAGAACTAAGCGTCCGATTTAAATGATTCAAAAAACTTTCTGCTTGTCTTAACAAAATAATTGATTTTGGAAAAAAAAATTTTGTTTCATTTTTTTTTCTTTTTTTTTTTTTTTTTAGTTTTTTGTATATCGAAAATATTTCAGATTTAATTTTTAATTCTGACTATAGTTGTAATATACTTTACAAATAATCAAACAAACAAACAACTCTGCAATTCAGTTTATATAATTCTTATAAATATTACACAATGTTACAATATTTATAATAATCTATTTGAAAACATTCAGTATTCCTCGAACATTTCGTTACGGTACGGGAAGTTCCAGCAATTTGCCTTAAGGCACGATGCCATAATTGCCTCAAGACAGAATTCCACTTACAGCTAGTTATTTACTCGATTATTTTTACATATCGTAATATATGTTGTCATAATTTTTAATTTCATTTTCTTTATCTCTAACAGTTCGAAATATATTAGTTGGGAATAGCGTAGATTAATTTTTGATGAAGTTCGAACTGATAATCAAAGAATGTTTATTACTACTATACTGCTATAATTATTGAAATTATAAATACGTTAAGTTTCCATTGTCGTTAATATTTTTCTGAAAATCCTAATCCGATTTTAAGCATAATGTATTCAAAAGATATTTTTGAAAATATTTTCACATTTACATTTTTAGTAAAGGCCGCTTTTATATTTTTTTAAATTAACAGCTAACAATTTGAGATTCTTGCTAATCAACTTAAAGTAAAGATGTGTTGAAATGAAAATTTATCTTATACCTAGTTAATTTTTGTTTGTAACATAGGGAATTACCAATATAATATATTTTGTACGTATGGAAAATTTCTAATAATTCATTTTATTTCAAATCATATAAAAGGATGTTAGAAATCTCAACATTAGTTTTTAGAAATGAGTTCTAAACAAAATATTTTTGAACCACAATATAAATACGATAGATGATAATAATTAATTTCATACCTGGGATTTTTCAAAACCTTATTTAAAAGTTCTGATAATGTTTCTTCATTGATATCATCTAAATCTATTTGAACGCCGTAGCCAGATCTTGTTGCCCTCGCCATGTTCGCTCGTTGATCACCAAAAATTGGAATTCCAACCAAAGGAACTCCAAAATAAATCGATTCAATCGAACTTAGTAATCCTCCATGTGTTATAAAAACTTTCACATTTTTATGATCTATAAAGTATTATATTAATATAAAACTGTGTATATAAAATTTAAATGTAATAATAATATGTAATGAAGTTACTGAGGATAGCTTGTTGTGGCATCCAACTTCGAATTACAACATTTTTTGGTTGATTTGGTAATTTGTCATCCTCCCACTTCCACAACACTGTTTCTTTTAGTTTTGCAAATGTATTTAAAATTGCATCTCTTTTCTCCTGTGGCAATTCTGAACTTTTCAAATTACTTCCCATACTAAAGTAGATGACGCCTTGTTTAGAATTATCCAAAACTTTTTGCAAATCCTTTACATAAGATTTATTTAAAAACCAATAGTGATAAAATTAATAACTTAATAGTGTTCTCTTACATCTGGAAGAGTATCTGGTTTGACATGTAATCCTCCAACATTGACCATATTTGGCACTATCGCTTGCGAACCAGAAACAGCAATGTTTGAATTCAGGAGAACTAATGAAACATTAGTAACTAATGTTGAGAGATGAGGAAATTCTTTTGAATTTTGTTTGAATATCGGACGGAAATAAGAATCATAAACTTCATGTTGCGCACGCAAGTGTAACCTGTTAAAATTATTGTTTCTATAAATTAGTTAGTTGTTTTAACTTTAAGTTCACTTACCAATGGAAAAATTCGCCAACCACAGAGAATACGGTGTTTCCAAATCGTTGCCAGTAACTCATTGGATTACTGAACGAAGAAAAGACACTAATATCATAAGCAGGATTGGATGGATTTCCCACCATTTTATTTGACCATATCATTGCTGGTGCTGTACCCATCATAATTGGTATAGCATCATAATGCTGGGCTAATCCCAAAAGACATTCATTCAAAAACACTTCCACTATCACTGCGTCAAATGTTGCATTCGAATTCAGTAAATCAACCATTTTTGGATGATACAGCGTACCTTTGGCCATTTCCATACCAAATCCAGAAATTGTTTTCATAGAATCAATAAATGATTTCTTCTTGATTTCGAATAAGTTTCCCATTTTCTTCTTAACTGAAAGAGATCATTTTATTATTATATTATTTAAATGATTATTTATTTAGGATAATATTTTTTCAGTATATATGTGTATTGTTGTGTTCTAACCCTTAGTAAATCATACTATGGATATTTTGGATTTAAAACTTTCTTTTTTTCTAGACTTCTAAAACTAAACCAATAACAAAGCATTTTTTCTATACCAACAATGAAACAATCTTCTCTTCAGATATTTACTATAAACACGTTTGAAAATTTGGATCATGTATTAGGAATATCCCAAACGTGCATATTTTATTTGACTAAGTTTTACATTAATAGTTTGCACAATCGGACAATCTCTAAATTTTCTTTTTCACATTTTTCAAAAAAAATCGAAACTTCATACATTATTACTAAGTTTTATAATAAAGTCCTATTATAAAAAAAATTAATAATAACTGATGATGTTTGTAATCGAGGTTAGCCATATTTTTTGTAAATGAATTAACATTTCATAATAATAAAAACTAGATTTCTTTTTTCAAAAAATTTAATACTTATGTTACCTATATCAGGACTAAAATCACCATCCAATAATATTTCTTTATAATTAGCATGTTTGAAGCTGCTTTTGAATGGACTGACCATTAATACCTAAAAAATAAAGTTTTTTTTATTAATAACATAGTAGTTTATTATTAATAATAATAATGTATATATATAATTTTACCTCGTGGCCCTTTTCAGCAAGACCTATAGCTAAAGCATCTCCTAAAATATGATGTGATTTTGACACTGCATTAAATACAATAAGAATTTTGGCACTATTTACAACTCCACTCAGAGCCAGGAATACAAAAATTAATTTAAATATGTTTTGCATCTGGAAAAACAATAAAAAATAGATCTATATTTCCACAATATGTTACTACAATTAATACATATTTAGAGTACTCTAGTTCTACTATTGGCACCTATTTTTCCTTGTTTCATCTTTATATATTCAAAGCAATTTTACTATTATAGTAATTCAAGGGCAAAAGTTCTGACAAGCAAATTAGTATGTACCTTTTCAATATTATTAAGATTACCCGTATTGATTAGAAGTTTATATAAATCCAATTCTATAATCTTTGTGACCCTATGTAAATAATGAGAGATCCTTTCATTACGGAGCTCTTAAAAAAAAATCTAATAGTAATTTGTTATTGCATACTAACTTGTACAAAACAAAAAATATATCAATTAGATACTATTCCCAATATTTTAGTTATGTACTTAAAATTAGGGCCAACGGATTAGAGTAACAATTGTCATATTGGTAAGTAAACGATTTTGCAGTATAAAGCTTGCATATTAATATATAAATGTTTATAAACAGTATGTAGGTCATTTGATTAAAAACGTATAAAATAATCTTGATTTGGATTAGTTAAAGATGTCTTCATTAGATGACCTAATGGTAAGTGAATTGGCATATATGCTTTGAGAATATTTAGCGTTTCATCTAAATTTAATATTAGAAATGTAGTGCATTTATCTAAAAGTACATGAAAATGAAAGAGAAAAATTATAATGAATTCTCAAATATAATTTTCATCTGTTTAATAGCTTCTACCACTAAATTTATAGCTATGGAAGAAAATTTAAAACACTAAGGTACGACAGTACTTAAAAATAAACATTCAAATTAAAAATCATATTACAATAACTTGGGTTGAAAAATTGTCTAGACGTATCGATTATAATCAAAATAAAATTTGCACCGAATGATACATATCACTTTGTAATAATAACATTTGTACCTTTTATCATTTGTTTATACTTTTTGTAGCTTCAACCGCGTGCTCAAGCAAAACAATATATGCATAATAATTTATTATTTCGGCAGTTTATTATTTCACTATATATGCATATATATATCCACTTGCAGGATGTTTAAACATATGCACAAAACAAATTTTAGTCATTTGCTGATAAAGAAATACAAGTTTATACTTACGTTGAATATCACCTAACAATTCAAGTCTATAAACACCATTGAAAATTATAGTATCAATTTCACTAATATGGATAAATTAATAAAGAACATGATGCAATGTATACGATGGTATGAAAATTATATTCATGTCGTCTGTATTATGATAAACGTTTTTGAAGAGTCATTCGATAAGTAAGTATCATATGCGACAAACAATTTTTTAATTGAGAAGACTTGGCGAGAGAAGGACGTACTGAAATACTTGTAGTTCAATGATAAAATTGTTATCAACGTTACATATACATGTTTTTGTATATATATATATATATATATATATATATATATATATGATGTTGAAATGTGTACCAAATTCCTCAGGGCCCCACATCAAACAAGAGATATTGTATACTATCTCTAACTTTATTTAAATCCAACATTTTTAGATGTGATCTTTTATCATATTCGTGAGTGACAATATATACCTAAGTAAGTGTCACAATTAACTCGCGTTTACTCAATTTGCCAATTTTTATAATCGATTATTATATGAATATAATAATACAAAATCTTATGTTTTAAATAAAAAGGGTCTTCCGCCATTCGCAGATCGCAGCGCACTATTTTGAAGATCTGAACTATAAAATACTTCCGTTATTTATTTGATATACTGTCCTGAAAAACTTGGCATATAATATATATATATATATATATATATATATACAGTGCTGGATTTACAGTAGGGGCAGTCGGGGCTACTGCCCAGGGCGCCAAATTTTCTGGGGCGGCAAAATTTGGATAGTGAGAAGAAAATTCTATACCATATAATTAACTCATTTTTTTAATAACATTTTTATTTTAAGAAATATATTTAACAAAACATTATACAAATGAAATGAAAAATTTGGCAATTTGGCTAATATAAAGATTCGTAAGCGAGTTGAAAGTTTAAGAAAAATATGTTTTTAAGATGACGAATTTGTGCACTTCCAAGCGTATGGCATTGTGCCTTACGGCAAGTTACTGAAACTTTCCGCACTGAAAATTACATTTTATAAAAAACTTTAAAATTATTTGAAAAATGATAAAAATTGAAATTAAAAAAACCTTTTTTTATATTTCGAAATTTTTTGAAAATTATTAAATTTCATTTATTAAACTTATTAAAATGAAATTTTATTTGAATAATTCGATTACTATTGATAGCGAGACGTGCTGATTAGTTATTGGCCAAGACGGGTCCAACTGTTTCGGAAATACCAAATTGCCAAAACTAATAATTCATTTTTTGAGAAACGAAACGTCCAATATCATTAAAAGAAATTTACATATATAGACAAAATGGAGAACTGATGAAATTTGTGGGAGGCAGGTCTAGCGGTTTCGGTGCTCCAATAAAAAAAATTTGAAAGAGAAACATTTGGCGGTCAAAAATGCTAATTAGCCATATGCACATCAAATAATCAGATATTTTAATAATATAAATTTTGTTTACATTTCTATGGGTTCTGTAAAATTATTTATCTGTTATTTTGCGAGGCGGCGCTTACGCGCTTCTCTATTTTGTCTGTACGCAGCTAAAGCAGGCCGATCGCTTCAATTTTTTTTTAAATTTTAATTTTTGGTACGGGAAGTTTCAGCAATTTATCTTAAGGCACGATGCCAAGCACCCCTATTTACACTATGTAATTCGTAATAAATTTTCTGCAATCAAATAGTTATTTTAATTTTAGAAAAATGATATACATAAACTATTTTAAGTAAAAATTTAGGGATGGAGCGGCATTTTTGTCAGTGTCCCAGGGTGCCAAATTTCTAAATCCCGCTCTGTATATATATATATATATATATATATATATATATATATATATATATATATATATGTATATATATATATATATATATATATATATATATTTTATATATATAATGCTATACTTAGATGTGAAATTATATGTGTGATATTCGATATTGTATTTTAGAATTAATATACATTTTCAATTTAATAGAGTATAAATAGATATACATATATATGAGTCAAAATTTTTAGGGCAATACATCTAACAAAAATTTTAAAATAGTTGATATTGGTATTTTGCCTTGAGGCAAGTTACATGAACTTCCCGATTTGTGTAAATAATTGACTTAATCCATGATAGATAAATTAATTTTTGAGTAGTTAAAAGTATTCAAAGTGGATTTATTACACATTATTGAAAATCGAACCCGGTCGGATTATTTTTTAAAAGCAAATTTTCAAAAATCAATAATTTTTATAATTGAGACAGTTTTTTGTAGGACTTTAATTGTTTAGTATGTTCATTAAGACCAAGTTTACTATCGATTTACCAAGAAAAAGGTCTAATTTTAATTTTAACAAATGTCAAAAGAGCTACTCATTTTCTCAAACGTTGATGAATTTTTAAAATTAAACTACTTATCGTAAGGCCGTAATATTACAGTAAGTTCTATAAGACCATGATATATATCGTCAAAAAAAATTCCATGAAAATCGGCTTAAATTTTTTTCAACAGTTAATTACAAGAAAACGGCTCGGTAGATTTTCACCTAAAACTAATCAGTATCATTCCCAACTAATATCTATCGAACAGTATTAGATTTTTTAAAATCGATTCGGTAGTATGAGCTTAAATGTTGACGAAAAATTTAACACTTTTTTCCAAGTTACAAAGAAACGGCTCGGCCGATCGTTGGACAAAACGATAATCCTCATCGAGATACATCAAATGGTTTTTAAATTTCTGAAATCGGTTCAGGCGTTTTTGAGCAATCGTCGATGAAAGTTCTAATTTCGACAAATGCCAAAAAGACCATAGGTACTAGTTTTTGCAAACTTTGACGAATTTTTAAAGCTAAACGAGTTGTCGTAGGGCCATAATATTTTAGTATGATCTAGAAGGCTATGATATCTACCGTCAAAAAAATAATCATAAAAATCGTCGTTTTTTTTTTAATTTTATTACAAGAAAATGGCCCGGCCGATCTCTATCAAAAACTAATCAGCACGATTCCCAACCAATATCTTTCGAACGATTTTTGAATTTTCAAAGTCGATTCAGAATTGCGGGCTAAAACGTAGACGATTTTTTTTTTTACTTCTCTGCGATTTATAAAGAAACAACTTAGCCAATCGTCGCACAAAACTGTCAAGCAATAGTCCTCATCGAGATACATCGAATGGCGTTTAAATTTTTGAAATCGGTCCAGCCGTTTTTGAGAAAACGTCGATTTACGGCAAAAAACCTGTGTACACAAACACACACACATACTTTATTTGTTATGTTTATTTTAAACATAAACTTCTCCTTCGGGAAGTTAATCATTATCAAAAGAGTTTCGCGATACGAATTCATCACTATAAACAATATAAAATTAAGTACAGGCATATAAATCAACGGAAATATTTTAAATAGTTTATAAAGCAAATCAGACTTATTAAAAATAAAAAGTATATTCACTAGAATTTTGTGTCATTTTAGTTGATACACAGTTGTGCATTACTATTAAAAATTTGATATGATTTACAAATTATTAATATTTTGATTATTACAAAAATGATTATTACAGACTTAAATTTTGGGATAGTCGGTTGATACGTAGATTTTTAAATATTATCCTGTAAAATACTTAAAAAAAAATAAATAAATAAGACTACGAACAATGGACAAAACTTTAATAAAAATCATAATCTATACAATTATAGATTTCTATTTCTATTCTTAACAGAATAAGTAAAATCAAAATGCTGTTTTAAATAAATATTCATAAATAACAAAAAAAAAAAACAGAATTGAAAGTTTTGACTACTTTAGAACATTTTGAATTAGTTTGCTATATTAGAAATAATTTAGGTGATAAAATTATACTGACGTCTTTCAGAGATTGATATTTCTTAAACATTTGTTTGCAAAAATTAAGATGTAATAAAATTTAAAGCTAAGTATAATAAATTTAAAAAAATCGAAATAAATTCTAGTTCAAGATATTTATTCCTATATTCAAAGTAATATCGTATAGTACCTATATCCATAGTAAACGAGAAATTAAAATTTAGGATTTTCATTATTGTATCTTGAAATTGTAAATAACATATAGTTTAATAGAATAATTAATTTTGTAATAGACAATCAATGTAAGTTTAATATATTTATTAAAAACAAGCTATTTATAAATATAAATATGTATTGAAAATGTCAACCATTAATACATTTTATAAATTCATACTAAAGTGCATTTTCAATAATTAAATTTTTACAAGATAAATTAAATAGGTTCAGAATATACTTTATCATTTATTTTGACATACCGGTTACTATGACAAATACTTTTTCTTAGGACTAATCTCAGCACAAGAAAGCAAGCAAATTATTAAACTAACTTTTGAATAAGTTTCAATTTAAATTTGCATTAAAATAATTAAATCATCTGTAACTATTCATTAATTATGTGATGAAAATATGCAGCTATGGAACTCTGATATTTTTATGGTATCGAACCAATATTTTATGACAAAATATTGCAAAATCAATAATATTATCATATTATTATGGATTATAATATTATGTCCAATTATAATATTCCTATTACTATTAGTAACATATGTTTCAAGTTCTAAAAATCAGGTTAGTTCTATATTAGTAAAATAAAAAATTCAAAATAAAGAAAAAATGAGGTAATACAATTGGGCATATTATAATCCATAATAATATGATAATATTATTATCCAAACTATACACTTGTTCAAAACTTAATATAGTTTGAAAAAAATTAAATTATTTATTAAATAATAATTTTATCTAAAAAAAATTGGAGATTTTCAGATTGAAAAACAAAGATTATTTTAAAAGTTTTATTATATTGAATATTTGGACATTTAAATCAGCGTATTTTACATTTTTCATTACACATTTATATATTAATTTAATGTAATTAATAAAATAATTAAATTACTAACTTTTGAATAAGTTTCAATTTAAATTTGCATTTAAATAATTAAATCATCAGTAACTACTATGTGATAAAAATATGTAGCAAAGGAACGCTGATATTTTCATGGTACCAATCCAATATTTTATGACAAAATTTGCTTTAATGTAGAAACTGATAAAATCAGTTATAAATCAATAATATCATATTAATATGGATTATAATATGTCTATTTGTATTTTTTTCCTTATTTTTTTTTTCGTTTTGAATTTTTATTTTACTAATATAGAACTAACCTAATTTTTAGTACTTTAGTAATATATGTTACAAGTACTAAAAATCAGGTTAGTTCTATATTAGTGAAATAAAAATTCAAAATGAAAAAAAAAATAGGGAAAAAAATACAATTGGACATAATATTTTAATTCATAATAATATGATAATATTATCATCCAAACCGTACATTTGTTCAAAACGTAATATAGTTAGAAAAAAAAATTAAATTATTTATTAAATAATAATTTCAACTAAAAAAATTGGAGATTTTCAGATTGAAAAACAAAGATTATTTTAAAAGTTTTATTATATTGAATATTTGGACATTAAACATCAGCGTATTATACATTTGTCATTACACATTTATATATTAATTAAATATAATTAATAAAATAATTAAATTGATAATTATTATACTTATAGCTAAGATGCAACTATTTTCCACACCACCCAGGAGGTATAGTTGCCAGGCGCGTTTTTTTTAATGTGGTGTCGCCGTACAAATTGTGTACAGCCCTAGTCCACTTACAAAATAACTTAAATTAATTAACTAAGCTAATTTACTAAGCCTAACTTAAATGATACGAATATAACATAAAAAAACACCCCACGAGATGATTAAATGTATATGCAGATCATCTTTAGAAAAAACCGTAGACGGTGCAAGAACCTGTTAGAAATTAAAGGTAAAATTGTAATGTACTATGGTAATTTTGTAATTAAGAAAAAAAAAAAGAAAAAAAAAGTATTTACATGATGTACCCCCCTAAGATCCACCATGTAAATACTTTAACTCCGTAGTGTTCCCAGCACTATGAAGCTTATAGAAGAATGCACTTATAAAGTTCATAAATTTGTGTATTAATTATTGTTATATGAATTAATATTAAATAATTGTAAAAAAAACGCGGAATCTATGCGAACTGAAAGGTCCTTGCCGTCTTCCCCACCCATTTTTAAAATAAAAAATAGTAAACTACCAGCCTAATGTTAACTTAATAATATATCCATGTGTACGCCGCCCTCCAATTTTGTAGGCAATTTTCTGGTTGGTTCTAATCTTGTATGTATCTTCATCTCGTATGCATCTTGATCTTGATGTTTCACTGTATGTATCTTGATCTTGAACTATATCTTGATCTTGAATTGTAAATATCAAGGTTTTGCACTGTATATATCACAATATATCACTGTACATAACACTGTATGGCACTGTATATAACACGATTTTGTCCCAGATATATCTTATTTATAATATGTATATAAATCCGTCCACGAATCAAATATAAAGAATGAATAACGTAAATGGGGCCCCGATGAAATAATATAGAAAATGATCGCAAAAAAACTAATATCTTATGATCTATCTTCGCAAGTAAGATACTTATCTTAATATAACAAAATAATATAGAAAACGATCGCAAAAAACTAATATCTTATGATCTATCTTAGCAAGTAAGGTACTTATCAATACAACGATCTCCTGGTCGTGTGCGCTCCTGGTGGTAAAGTGGTCCATCCTACTTAGTAAAGTGATCTATCTTAGTAAGTAACAAACTTATCTGAATATAACAAACGTTCTTCTGGTCTTGTGCGCTCCTGGTTGCAAAGTGGTCCATCCTACTCTTGTAAACTGGTAATCACTAACATCCTGGTAAACATTCTTCCGTTTTAGTAATAGTGTTTTTAGGATCTATTCCTCTTGTAACTTCTGTGTCCAACCTAAAATTAAAATTTTATTTAATTATATCAAGATTAAAAAGATTTGTACATAGCTCAGAGTTTCTTACCATCTCACAAACATTGCCAAGTTCAACTACTTATAAATTCAGCATTCCTCCACCAGGAGACTCATTGTGCGACCAGTAAAAGTAAAGTTAATTCATGAAATTGTGTTCATTACATTACGGCACAAAAATTTAAAACTAAGTTAAAAAATTAAACTGAATTTTATGAATCTATAAAAAAGTTACTTCTTTCCATGGGCCACTTATCAAAACAATAAAAAATTAAATTTAATAATAATTATAAAAATAATGGCACAAATAATATTAATTATTAAATTAAGTGCATGGGGTTGCGGTGCTTCTGGGAAAAACAACGCAGGGGTCCATACACACACGAATATGAAACAAAAATTAATAGATTAGTTAATTACTAAATTAAATTTAATTTATGAAACCCGACTACTCGGACCTGCCGTGGGGGGTAGGCGGCAGGAAAGTAGCTTCAAACGCGCAATTTTCATCATACGTTCGTTCGTTTTTCGAAAATTAAAAAAAAAGTGTGAACCATGTACTCGAAATAACGCAAAATGGTAAATGAAAAATTACTTTTAACACTACATCAAATAAACTAAGTTACAATTAATATCAAAAAAGTTTAATGCACAATAAGCCTCCCAAGTTATTATTCACTGCACATAACACTGTTCGTACGGTATAAAATCTGAAAAGAAAGGAACTACATTAAAAATTAAATAACCAACTACATTAAATAATTATAACAAGCCAATTGCAAATAATTCCAACATAAGTTCAAATATAAATTTTAATGTTGTAATAGTTTTCTAATTCTAATCTTTTTTTCATAATTATTGACTTTGTAGTCAAATATATTAGCCATTTTCAATTAAAATTATTATTTTGTACAATTATTATGCAATATTCATAGTTTAATGTTATAAGACGTAATAAAATTTATACATATACTGCATATGTTTTTATTTCTATGTTTCATTTAATAATTTAATATTTAAATCAAAATGTATATTCAAATAAATTATATAAAATTAAATTTTATGTCAAAATTTTACAGTTGAAATTATTTATATTTATATAATATAAAATATATACAATATACATTAGATACATTTGTACATACATATATCTATATATATATGTACTTGCGCTTTGATTTGATTTATTTCTATTGAATTATAATTAAAAAAAAATTTGAAAACCGTTTTTATTTATATTATTGGATTTACATTATTTTCTATATTTTAATATAATTTGGCCGAAGAGTTATTTCAAAACCATTACAGCAACTCTTTGACAAAAATTATTTTGAAATAGAAAAAATAACATAAATCGATTTATATAAATAATGAACAGGTTCCATTTTTTTTTTATTAATAATTCACTAAATAAAATTAAATGAATCAAAACACAAGCAAACACCATGCATTAATCATATATTCAAGAAACTGAATACAGTAGACCCTCGCTTTACACGGCACTCTGGGTACGCGGTTCCCATACTACACGGAGCTAAAAATCCGACATCCCTCCGACTACACGGACTTTTTATTACACGGTATTTGGTCAACAGCCCATAAGTTCGTTGTGCAACCTATGAGTGATTCTAGTAACTTGATATCAAAAGGATATTTGTAAGTTTTCTTATCTTATCGACTTTTAAATTTTAGACATGCTTGATTATATAATAGCTGTGTACTGCATTGGGTTTTATTGTCTAAGAATACGTTTGAATAAGTATTGATAAAAAAAATCTGAACCGACATGTCTGAAGAAACTAGGAAAGGCCTCAAGAGGAGGTGTATATCGCTTGAAAATAAAATTGAAATTATAAATCGGTTAAAAGATGGTGAAAAATTATCGGCTATTGCCAAATCAACAAATTTAAATGAATCAACCATTCGAACCATAAATAAAAATGCAGATCATATAAGGAAAACTGTGGCAGATGGGTGTCCTTCAGTTGCAAAACGTGTCACTCGCACGCGACCATCTATTATGGTGAGAATGGAACGAGGATTGATGATTTGGTTAGAAGATTGTATAGCTAAAAGAATTCCTATAAGTGGAAATCTTATAAAACAGAAAGCTCTTAAAATTTATAATCACTTAAAGAATAACGGACCTTCACTACATAACCATTCGTTTGCCGCGAGTAAAGGATGGTTTGACAAATTTAAAAAACGGCATGCCTTGCATAATATAAATTTCAAGGCGAACAGGCATCAGCAGATTCAGAGGCTGCCGAAAATTTTAAGCTGAAACTTGCTAGAATTATTAATGAGGGAGGTTATTCACCTGAGCAGATATTCAATGCTGATGAGACGGCTTTGTATTGGAAAAAACTTCCATCAAGGACTTTTATTTCCAAAGATCAAAGGCGTGCTCAGGGGTTTAAACTTTCCAAACAACGAATTACTCTTCATCTGTGCAGCAATCTATCCGGGAACATGATTATGAAACCGATGATAATAAATTCTTCTTCAACTCCGCGTGCACTAAAAAACATGAATAAGACACGATTGCCTGTATTCTGGCGATCAAATAAGAAGGCCTGGATGAGTCAAGATTTATTTAAGGATTGGTTCTATAATTGTTTCATCCCGGCTGTGGAAATCTATATGATAGAAAAAAATTTGCATTTTAAAGTTATATTGCTTCTTGACAACGCTGGTTGCCACAATATACAGCTAGACCATCCAAATGTGAAAATAGTCTTTCTTCCTCCTAACTGCACATCATTAATACAACCTTTGGATCAAGGAATTATTCAAACTTTAAAAATGTACTACACACGTCGATTTTTTCAAACAATTTTGACAGACTAGAAAATAGTAATAAAACTCTTATTGAAGTGTGGACTGAATTTTCTATTTTAGATTGTATTACAGCTTTATCGTCGGTTTGCGAGGAAATTAAACCATCAACGCTTAACTCGTGTTGGAAGCCTCTTTACCTGAAATAGTTCACACAATGCAAGATGATTCTACAATTTCACTCCCAGCTGCAGAAATAATAAATATGGCTTCACGCTTATGCGATGACGCCTTTGAA